TCCCAGCACACCATGGACCTCTGGTTTCCCACATCAGTATCCCCATGGCCAACCTGATTTTAGCCACACTACCCCGTTCCAGGCAACCTTGGGCTCACCTCAGCTGACGGTGTCCCGCCTCCAGGTACATGCTCTCAGCTATGGCCTTCCTGAACTTATAAGAGTAGACCATGTGTGTGAGGGAGTTTTAATGTCTGGAGGCAACCTCCAGTGAGGAGAGATAGACACTGGTAGGTAAATAGCCCATCTTTCTTACACGCTGGTAGGAGGCATTCTGCACCTTTCTCAGGCTGTCCCAGGGGAGCTGAGCCCATCGTCCAAAGCAGCAACCTCAGGGATGCTCCTGTAGGTTGGATTTTCCTCCTTTCCTGCGTCACTTCCTTCCCCATAGCTTCTCCCAAATAAGAAGTCTTAATCTGAAACCAAGGTCTTGTCTTGGCTTGCCTTTCGGGGGAGCCCTGGTTAACACACTTCTGATTATCATCATCCTCTTCATCATCATCAATAATTATCCTCTCATCTCAAAGATGAATAATCTCAAAATCCTCCTTGCTTATATTTGGCAAATGTTAAGTTTGTATGTGTACTTGGGTCCCTGTTCTCGGACTGTTGTTCCACAGATAAATTTCTATACTGCTTGGAGTTGTGTTTACCTTACGATATGGTAATATATGTTAAATTATGCTTTCTTTTCATTTTTTTTCTCCTTTTCAAGATATTTGTGGCTTTTCTCGTGATTTGTTTTTATAAGAATTTTAAATTAATTTTATCCATTTCTAAGATAAATCGTATTGTAATTGCATAAGTGATTTCTGAAATTGCATGAGACTTATCTGTGAATTTGGGGAAAATTGCATTTAAAACAATTTTTTAATGTTTATTTATTTTTGAAAGAGAGAGAGATCATGAGCGGGGTAGGGGCAGAGAGAGAGGGAGACACAGAATCCAAAGCAGGCTCCAGGTTCTGAGCTGTCAGCACAGAGCCCGACACGCGGCTCGAACTCACGAACCGTGAGATCATGACCTCAGCCAAAGTCAGACGCTTAACCGACTGAGCCACCCAGGCGCCCCGGAAAAATTGCATTTTAAATATTATGTTGTTTCATTCAGAGATAAGATGTAGTTTTTCAAGCGTCTTAGTCTTTTTGAGCTGTTTATTAAAAAATTACCATAGACTGGGTGGCTTATAAAGAAAAGAAATTTATTTCTCACAGTTCTGGAGGCTGGGAAGTCCAAGGTCAAGGAGGCAGCAGGTTCTGTGTCTGGTAAGGGCCCACTTCCCGGTTCATAAGTGGTCATTTTCCTCCTGTAATCTCACCTGATGGGAAGGGCTAGGGGGCTCTCTAGGATCTCTTTTATAAGGGCACAGATCCTGAAATCCTCCACACCCTCATGACCCAATCACCTTCCAAAGGCTACACTTCCTAATACCACCACATTGGGGGTAGATTGCAATACATGAGTTTTGGGAAAAAACAAACATTCAGTCTATAGCACTGAATGTTCAGGTATTACTATTGTATGATTTTCTTTAAGTCCCATGCCTTTCTTTTTTTTTTTTATTTTTTTTATTTTTTATTTTTTTATTTTTTAAAAATTTTTTTTTCAACGTTTTTATTTATTTTTGGGACAGAGAGAGACAGAGCATGAACGGGGGAGGGGCAGAGAGAGAGGGAGACACAGAATCGGAAACAGGCTCCAGGCTCCGAGCCACCAGCCCAGAGCCCGACGCGGGGCTCGAACTCACGGACCGCAAGATCGTGACCTGGCTGAAGTCGGACGCTTAACCGACTGTGCCACCCAGGTGCCCAAGTCCCATGCCTTTCTTATAAAAATATCCCTAAGTATTTTTTTTGTTTGATTTGCTAGTAATGACTGATATTTGTTTTTCACTTTGGATCTTGAACTGGTAGCTAATGTAAAGAAAGTCTATTCTTGTTACTTTTTTCTCTTATCTGGCTACTTTATTGTATATTTTTGAAAATGTTTGTTTAGTTTTAAGAGAGAGAGAGCAGAGGAGGGGCAGAGAGAGAGAGGGTGACACGGATCTGAAGTAGGCTCCAGGCACTGAGCTGTCAACACAGAGACCGACGTGGGGCTTGAACTCATGAATCGTGAGATCATGACCTGAGCCAGAGTCAGACACTCAACTGACTGAACCACCCAGACACTCCTATTGTATTTTTATACAGTCTTTTTTAAAAAAAATTTTTAAACATTTATTTATTTTTGAGACATAGACAGAGCATGAATGGGGGAGGGTTCAGAGAGAGAGAGGGAGACACAGAATCTAAAACAGCTCAGAGCCTGACACGGGGCTCGAACTCACAGACTGCGAGATCATCACCTGAGCCGAAGTTGGACACTTAACTGACTGAGCCACCCAGGTACCCCTATACAGTCTTTTACGTATACTGGGCATCTAATCATTTTGCAAGTATGTATAGCTAACTTTGCTTCCTCTTCTTTAATATTGATTAATTGTATTTATTTTCACATTGCATTTGTTAAAGCCTTCCAAGTGATGTTGAATTATAATAGTATTAGCAGGTACCTTTCACATAGCTCTGGGTTTAGTGGAAATTATCTCAGTATTTAACTATTTCATACACTAGGGTTTTGTTAACTCGTGTTTATCATACTTAAGTAGTTTTCTTCTATTTCCATTTCACATAGAGCTTTTATTATGATGGATATTAAGAGGCTACGATCAGAGGGAGCAAGGTCAAGACTCCACGTGTCACACGCATTGAAGGTGGATGTGATGGTTTAGCAGAGTAATCAGGAGCATGATTAAAATCAGACGACTGCGAAACAATCGTTTTGAAAGTGCCATCAGCATGGAAGCTGGAGGAAATCTAAATTGATGGTAGAGATTTCAGAAAGAAAGAACAGAAAGAAAACAGGGCTGAGCCACTGAAGAAGTTGAGGTTTGAAGACGGCAACGATGAGGGCGGGCAGGGGAGTAGGCCTGTAGGATGAGCTTAGCTGAATGTCAATGGCGGCCTTAGCTGAGGCAGCGGAGAAGGAGGAATACTTTGGGGATTCTAGGGGATTAGAAGGAGAATCCAACAGGATGATGGATGCACAACTAGGTGGCCAAGGATGGCTGGGCAAGAGAGGAACAAGAGTTCAGGAGTCTGCAGATGGGTAAGGCAAGTGAGCATAAGAAGAAACAGGAAGCAGGGAATTATGAGATAGGTTGGGGTCACGTGTCATTCGCCTCGAAGTTTAGTGATTATGCTGGCTCTTATCGATGGAAGGCTGTGTAGAACTTCCAGACCCAAAGATTCATTTAGAACTTCATAGTGTGTTGGGGGGGCCTGGGTGGCTCAGGCGGTTAAGCCACCGACTCTTGGTTTCCCCTCAGGTCACGATCTCCAGCTTTGTGGGTCAGACTCTGCTGTGGCAGCTCAGAGCCTGCTTGGGATTCTCTCTCTCTCCCTCTCTATTTGCCTGGTTCCCACGCATGCTGTCTCTATCTCTTTCAAAGTAAATAAATAAACTTAAAACAGAACAAAACAAAACAAAACTTCGGGGTAGGTAGTTTTGCAAAACCTTCACAGGAGGCATAGCGGGTTAAAAGATTCTTTTACTTATCCTGTGTGTGTGCATATGTACAGCTGTGTTAAGGTTGCCACATTTAGCAAATAAAATAATTAGCACGCAGCTAAATTCAAATTTCAGAAAATAAAGAATATTTTAGTGCAAAGACATCACATGCAACTAAGCATATTTCACAGGACATACTTACGCTAATATTTTTGGTATTTACCTGGCATTTAAATTTAACTATGTGTGTTTGCATGCATACGTGAGCAAGAACCAGTAATGTGAGCTGATGAGCTATTCTTTCAGACTTCTTTTTCTTTTTTTTTTTTTTAATTTTTTTTTCAACGTTTATTTATTTTTGGGACAGAGAGAGACAGAGCATGAACGGGGGAGGGGCAGAGAGGGAGACACAGAATCGGAAACAGGCTCCAGGCTCTGAGCCATCAGCCCAGAGCCTGACGCGGGGCTGGAACGCACGGACCGCGAGATCGTGACCTGGCTGAAGTCGGACGCTCAGCCGACTGCGCCACCCAGGCGCCCCCAGACTTATTTTTCTAAAAGAGCAGCTCAGAGCAGGTCATGAGACATTTTAGCACTGTATGTTTTCTTAATCATTATAACTTTAAAAAGCAATGGAATTTATACGGATAGAGTTTATTTCATTGTTTTAAAAAAAAGGTTTCTAAGGTTTAACCTGAAATAGAGGAAACTGTTGTTTAATAACAGCTTCTGTAATCAATGTTTTTACGTACTACCTTACTTTAAGGTACAGAATCATTTACTTAGATTCTACTTTTTCAAAAATTCAGGGGGCGCCTGGGTGGCTCAGTCCGTTAAGCGTCTGACTTCAGCTCAGGTCGTGATCTCACAGTTCGGGAGTTCGAGCCCTGCGTGGGGCTCTGGGCTGCCAGCTCAGAGCCTGGACCCTTCTTCGGAGTCTGTGTCTCCCTCTCTTTCTGCCTCGCCCCTGCTCACGCTCTGTTTCTCTCTCTCTCAAAAATAAGCAAGCAGACATTGAAAAAATTTTAAAAAATAAAATAAAAAACCGAAGCTGCCCAAAATGTTATGAAGTGCCCACGTGACGGAAGCCTTGCCTCTGCTTTGTGCGGTGGCTTCTGGTCCCATCACAGGATACTCCCCATCTGCACTCGGTGAGGCATGTGGTTGGGATAGGCATAGCAGCCAGGTAATTTCTGGGGCCGGCTGGTAGCCGTCCAGACGCATGTGCAGGTGGAGTGAAATCCCACGGTCCTTACGACCGTGCTTTGTGTCTTTACAAAGCGGTTCCTGGTGGCATTCCTCTTGCTCACACTGGGTGGACCAGCCCGCGGAGGCCGCGCCTCTCGGTGACGTGAGACCCAAGAGTCGTTACTGGAATTTTCTCCATTACGAGTTCCCGCCTTCTCTCTGCAGCCTACTTCCGCTCACAGATGAACCATTTACAGGAGGCTGTGCGGGCTACCATTCCCCACTCCTCCCCAGGGCTCCTCCTTCCCTCTGGGCCTGAGAGCTATGCCCTGACCCCAGAGTGCTGGCGGGGGACCGCGGTCATCCAAGCTCAGCGCGCCTCGTGACTTGGCCGCTGGGCACCTGGCAGCGAATTTATTTATCTTCAGCTTCTTCGGTGTGGGCGCCTGGTGCTTACGATTTCGCATCGATTGTGACCTGACACGAGCCTCCCGAGGTCAAGTATGGTATTCACCGATTACAAGTAAGGGAAACAAGAATCCGAAAGGAAAAGACAGGGAAGCTCACGTTGACTGAGTATCTGCTTTGTGCCCACCACTGTCTCAAGCATTTTACAAACATCATCTCAGACCTAAACTGGACACTGTAAGAAGTAGGGTTTGGAACACACGTTTTACCAACGGAGACATGAGCTCCGAAAAATTAGGAAGTTTGTCCAAGAACCTATATAGCTAATGAGGTGTGGATGAAGAATACAAATGAGGCCTCCTCCCCAAAGCCCATGTTTGCCATTTCGCAAGGGTTCCCTCTGGAGGGGAGTTAGCTTTTCCAAGTTGACCCAGCTTGGATAGGAGAGACTGAGGATTCCGACTTAGGTAACTCTGACTCCGAAGCCCATGAAAACTAGCATTTCATTGGGCTAATTCGACCATTAAAAAAAAAAAAAAAAAAAAAAACTCGGGTGTCCCGGGCAGATCCCAAAAAAGTACCACGGTTCTTCCATTCCTAAATTCTGATAATTTGTGTGTATCAGTGTGTGGTTTGGGGAATGAGCGGAGCCTTGCAAAAGAGGCGAAGAGGTCCTGAGGTATGGTCTTCAGCTAGCTTGCTCCTTCTCGAAGCCTTGGTGATTAAAGTTAATTGAAACCTGGGTGTTTGAATATAAGCACTTTATTCACAAAGCAATGGGGATTATGCTGGTGCCATCTGTCTAATTGCAGAGGTCATGCAGCTGGAGCACAGACAGAATCCTGATGCATTTCTTAAGCAGCAGAAAGCATCAGAGTTCAGATACACAGAGAGGGTATTAGATACTTTCCTTAGAAGCCGGAGCAGGGGGTAGGTGCTTACGGTAGGTGGGAGGTGGGAGCCTTTTACACAGGTGAAAGATTGGAAGAGGCTGAACTCTTGCTTTGAGCTTTGGGATGAACATACTGTGGGACCTTGGGCAGAATGCTTAACCCCTCTGAGTGGTCAGTTTCTCCATCTAGACGGGGGGATGGGCGGGCCAAATCTTTGTGTTCATCTACGTCTTGCATTTTATAATATTGTGATGTAGTTTTCTGCATTTTGCTTATATCTGTGAAAAAGCCAAGTCCTGTGTAATGGAGCTACAGCTAAGACTGAATTCGTCTAGAAAGCAGAGTCAGGGCAGCCTGCTGGTAAGACTGACCTTTAAGGGTCTCCCTTCCCCCCGTCTATTTCCTCTTGGCCTTGGGCACCCAACAACAAACAGCATGCGTCTTGCCTGCTCGTGGCATCTTCCTTAGATCTGGTCCTTTGCAGGCAGCTTTCCATCCACAGACTTTCCTAATGGGCTTGGGCTTGCTTCTCATACGTCCTCCAGACCTGTCTGTTCCGGCCTCGTCCTGGGTCTCACACACAGGCAGTGGGCACTGAGGTTCTAGTCCTGGGGTAAGGCTATCTGGGTTTTAATCTCGGCTTCATCATCCCTCAGCTGGGTGACACGGGGAAAATTACTTTGCATTCCTGTGCTCCAGGTTTCTCCTCTGTGTCAAAAAGTGTAGCACAGTGCGTGGCACAGGGTAAGTGAGCGCTATATATTATATAAAAGACAGGACTAAATGTTTCTGGGTAGCTAATGTGACCTATGAAATAGTAGGTCACTTACGTACTCACGGATGGCTATGACCACACATTTTTCTATCCCTGAACACGAACGTGCGTTTTTCCCATCCTTGTATGTTAATGAGCCGAATGGAATTCTTAGCAATGACTTCCCGTGGAGGAGGGCGTGTTGGGTAAGAACCCCTTCAGCAGTCCTCACATCACACAACGTAAGCTCCCTGTGAATCAGGGAGCTGGCTCTGTGAGTGCACAGTTGCCAGTGTTGGGCAGAAGGCTGTCCACGCCTTCCAGCAGCCCTGATGACAGCGAGCAAAAATTACTAGAAGAACCACCAGAACTGCATTTCTTTTTTTTTTTTAAACGTTTATTTATTTTTGAGACAGAGAGAGACAGAGCATGAACGGGGGAGGGTCAGAGAGACAGAGGGAGACACAGAATCTGAAACAGGCTCCAGGCTCTGAGCTGTCAGCACAGAGCCCGACGCGGGGCTTGAACTCACGAACCGCGAGATCATGACCTGAGCTAAAGTTGGACGCTTAACCAACTGAGCCACCCAGGCGCCCCCAGAACTGCATTTCTTATTACCCTCTTTAGTGTTGGCGTGGCAACTAGATGTGCTTATACACACACACACACACACACACACACACACACACACACTACTAGAGTCCCCACTAGGCTCCATTCTAAAAGGACTATGAAAGCATCATGGGGCATCTATAAAGCTCGTATTTCCCTCTACATCAGTCTTCAGTATTTCTCTACTTATTGGATCCTACACTGCACTTTATGCTTCTATTGACTTCAAACGAAAAAAACAAAAAAAAAAGGCTATGCACATTGGTGTAATCTCTTATTTTGAAATAATATTTTATTTTTCAGAAGGGTGTAACTATTCAATGGAATTGCTCCAACTTCAGCTCAGGTCATGGTCTCATGGTTTATGAGTTCGAGCCCCACATCTGGCTTGGTGCTGAGAGCTAGGAGCCTGGAGCCCACTTCAAATTCTGTGTCTCCCTCTCTCTCTCTGCCCCTCCCCCACTTGCATTCTCTCTCTCTCTCTCTCTCTCTCTCTCAAAAATAAATAAACTTCTAAAAATTAAAAAAAAAAAGAGAAAATCATAGAGAAGGAAACAAACTAAACAGAAAAACAAATCAAAAGGATTCAGCCTTGGGGGGCCTGGGTGGCTCAGTTGGTTTAAGCATCCAAGTTCAGCTCAGGTCATGATCTCATGGTTTGTGAGTTCAAGCCAAGCATCGGGTTCTGCACTGACAGTAAGGAGCCTGCTTGGGATTCTCTCTCTCCCCCACCCTCTCTCTCTCTGCCCCTCCCCCACCCTGTTTCTCTCTCTCTCTCTCTCTCTCTCCCTTTCAAAATAAATAAATGAACTTAAGAAAAAAGGATTCAGTCTTTTACCAATGTCATGCTTTGCTCCCTCTATTCATTGAGTTTGACATTTGAACATTTATAAAAGGCTTGGTATTACGTGTGCGAAGATTTTCTCACATGTCACAGGCTTTTTCTACAGCATCCACTTGCCAACTTTAAGTATCACGATCCAATGAGGGTCAAGTGCCAGTGTGACCAAACTCAGGTGTCTAAATGGTTTGGTTGAATAACCAATGGGGCTTTTTATTATAGAACCCAACCTGGTCAGAGACTGGTTCTAAAAGAAACCATGTACTTTGTTAATTAGGGTTTTCTTTTAAATAAAAAAGTTACAGTAAATATTTTGAAAAGCAAAATAAGAAAAGGACATGTAAAGTGTTTTTGTCTGAAGCGGAATTAGATTCAGAACCTAGAGCAGAGCTTCAAAAGCCAAACATCCAGCTGAAGTTACCATAAATAGCTCCATTGAGTGGTGGTTTGGGAATAAAAATGTGAGCTATCTGGTATTGTTTTTCTTTATAAGATTTTTTTTTTATTTTATTCTTTACCATCGGCTAGGAGTCCTGACTGATAAAGATTATTTTGTGAATGAAATTAATGAATAGAGTAACCTCTATAAACCTCTGGTGGGCTACTGACCATGAACATGGCCACATGTCTTCTCCTGCAGGAAAAATATCACATTACTTAGACATATTCATGAGGTATTTCTGCACTATGTTTTTAAACATATTTTCTCTTGCACACTTTCCTTACAATAACTATCCCTTTCATCGAAGGAACATCGAAGCAACTCCAGGGAAAAGACACACAGGGTAAGATATCTGTATATGAAAAAAAGACGTTAAAATATCAGCTTCAAAAAGCATGGGGGAGAAACCAGTTATGTTTCCCCTTTCTTTTCCAACACAAAGGAAGTAAGAAATTCTTTCATGGTTTTTATTTGTTTTTCAAATCACATTGTCCTCAACTCTTAAAATAATAATCTTCCTTGACAGTCATTTAATAATTGTGAGTGATCTATGACTTTATTATAAAATATTCATCTAATGATCTATTTCCTTTACCCCAGGGGCCAAGTACAAAGCTAGGGAATTATCTTGGTGATACTTTTAATAACTTCCTGTGGGATTGCAAACCTCAATCAAAGCTGACTCTGCAAAGGAGTTAATCACGTAATTTCACAGATTAGACACCACAGGGTTACTAATGAGAAACTTCAGTTTAGTGATACACTTTTTTTTTTTTCTTCCAGGAATATTTTGAGAGGCCTGTAACCTTTGGCTGACACCCAGCAAGGCTATTAGTTTAACCATGGGATGCACTACCAAACGCGTAAGAGTCAGGGAACTTCTTTTCTGGAAAGTTGATTGTAGGAATGGTTTGGTTAAAGAGCCCTCAGAAACAGATGGAATGGGTGAAAGGGGAAAAAAAGACAAGCATAAAAAAACTTGACTTCCGTCGGTTGGCATAATTGCAGCTTCTAGTGTCTTTTCAACCATATGCTCAAGATGGAAACTGCAGTTCACATTTAAATGTCACGCTGCCCTCTGTTCCATAAACATGTATCATCCACCACTAAATATTTAGATCTGAATTGTTGGAACTCAGTTCTGTGCCAGGGGTAGGGGGATTAATTCCTCTCAAGGTCCTCACATGATGGATCTTCCGCTGAAGTAAACATCCGAGAAGAGCTCACACTAAAGCCATAAAATATATAAATAAAGTTTAAAGTTTAATTAAGTCAACATTATTTAAAGTGGTTGTCATATTCTACAGTGAACTTTCCATGTTTATTTTGTATGACTCCTCATAAATAGCCCCTCCTGATCAGACAAAAAGCACAGTGAGGTTAAAGTCAAGGGCTCCAAACTTAGGGCTGGAAGAAGAATATTCCTGAGTCGGGGATAAGGGAACTTTGTTTCCCATTCTGCTTTTGTCGTAAAAGCTAGCCTGTTAGCTAGAAACTGAGTCAATATCTTATACAGATAGAATGCTTGAAAATCCTTTAAGGCTTCATCTGTTGGACTATGGGGAGATCATATATACCCACACAGATAGGAACAGAGAGAAGCAAATAAAGGAGCATTAACTCAAGTGATAAGACAGCTTTCATTTTATTTTACTTCTTATAAAAATAAGAAACATAAGAAGAAAAATAGCTGATTCAAGTTTACATTCATACTGGCTTCTTGAAACATTTCTTCATAAAACCTCAATCATTTTAACGTACATAACTCCCCCCGCCCCCTCATCAAACATAAATAAATTGGTCAATCTAGGACACTTGATTTTTCTCCCTTAATCAACAATCACACACTTTTTCTTGTCTGATGGGTATAGTATTTAAGGAGAGAGAGCATGTCAAGGACACAGATCAGCTGAAGTGAATGTCTTACTACTGGACGATGTTGAAGCACAATTGAGAGTCAGCATGGACTTTCTCTTTTTAAAGCAAAAGCTCCCTCAATAGACAGCCCTAGTTCTCCCTACAGAAAGGAATCTGTGTCCAGAGATGTATTTAAGCCTGTAAGGAAACTTTGGGAGTCGGAATAAGCCTCTAGCGGTCTTATCCAACCCTGCTGTTTCATGAGTGTACCGTAGCCAGAAGACGTTGACTGTGCCAGTTCACATTGCTAACTGATGGCAAAGTGGATCTAGAACACATGTCTGCCAATGCCCATCTTACTGCTTTCCTATCCGGAGTATTGATATCATAATACGCAAGTTTGCAGAGGAAATGCCTGGTAGGTATAAATGATGCTCTTGGAAAAGATGTTCTTGGAAAAGTATCGACGATGGTTCTTAGGTTGCATATTTTCAGAAATCAGGTGATTTGATGCACAGTGCTAATTACTGTTCTTCTGTCTCCTTGAGTGTAAAATGCAGCTACTATGAGATACTGATTAGAGATACTATTCGTCAAGTGCATCCTGCAGAAACACAGTAAACACCCTAACAACGGTATCGGTTACCATTGGTTTCATGTCCACATTTTAGAAGCTACATACCAAGAGCTAAGTGTCTTTCCAAACTACCAGGTTACAAGTATGGCTGGGGATGATTTCACTTCTTTTCCTAAGTTGGGACTCACATTTAATTTTGACAAGCCCCCCAAAGAATCTAGATAGATTTGTTTTCTGGAGTAAAACTACGTATCAAATGAAAAGACACATGCTATCAAAATGATTTATTATCACTTGGACTAGAGTCTGGGGTTTTAATGAACCGAAAGAATTTTTAAAACATGGCTGAAATTTGACAAGGAAAACACAAAATTCGTTTCATTCTTTTCTGCTGAGAAAATGTCTCTTTACATCGTCACACTCAGGATATTGAAATGTGACAATTAATCATACAGCCAATGATTTGGAAATATGCAACATCCAGTTATATGTGTATATTTTAGTCCATTCCTCCAAGAAGACTACAGGGAAAAAGCCCTACTACCAGTAGCAATATGAAAACTACAACCATTTCAAGGACTTATAACACTACCTACAAACTCTCTACTCTGTTTTGATTTTATTAGTTTTTCTCAACGAACTCCTTCCATAATTCTTATGTGAATTTTTGGTTCCAGATCATTTTCTCTCCATGCTTCTACCTAGTTCTCTTTGTCACAACGGAACAATTGTATTTTATACATGAATATATCACAGTCTGTTAAATCGCTCCCCTGGAGATTACATGTTTCATGAAATAAACACGTGATTAAAGGGAAAAGAAATGGAAACGAAATTATACTTTTACACTAAAAGAGAATTTCTGATTAAGATTGTTATCACAGAACACAAAAACATTATGCTAAATACAGTCAATTTTGCAAAAACTTGCATGCAAGCTGTAACTAATTAAATAGTTCATGGTTTCAACATCTAATAGATCTATTAAAAGATCTATTTAAAATTTACAAAAGCAAAAACAGGGAAGCATAACCGCTACTCATCTCATGTATGAAGAAATTATTTCACCATAAAATTATTTCACTGGATAATCCTAATGGTTAAGAGTTCGTCATTAATTTGCACATTCTGAAACCATGTTTTAATTTTTCCTGTAATACATATGAGCGAACTTATACCTACATATCTCTAGACTGAGGAAACTATTATTATTTCTTATAGGCGTGTTAAAGAAATCAACTCAGAGAAGATAAATTTGCATATATTTAATATTTTCTACGCATGGATGACCAAACTCATAGATCTCTTAATGAATATTAAGAAAATTGCCACTCACACAGCTATGCTTCCTTTTCTGGTATGTTTCTTGCTGAGAAAACCTTTTTCTCTTGATTCACACCTAAACTCATCCAACCAACCTTTCAGGAGAACAGTTTCTGATGCTCATAAACCAGTGACCGCGAAGGCACGCTGGAGCCCAAGTTTATTTCATTGATGCACTCTCTGGGTAAGCTCATGTTCAGCTAGTATTTCCAAATCATTGATTTTGTCTAAACATATCCATCCCTGAGTTATTTATACATTAGGTAGTAGAAGTAGAGTGGGTGCGAAAAGTGGGCCAGATGAGAAACTTTCTAGATTTTGCTCACTGGTAGTAAATCATGGGGTTTTATCAAGGGAACCTTGGCAAATAGAACTGTCCATGCAGAATTAAAGGCTTTTAGAACAGAATAAGTTAGATAATGAAGACATATGCTCTTAAGTTTTAGCTATTTATTTTCCCAAACATTTATTATTAATACATGAATATGTTCCAGCAATATTTGTTGAGTATCTTTCCTACACTGTTGAGTACCTCCTGTGCAATTAATGAGATCTAGAGAAAAGTAAACTTTCTCCACCTTCAACCTGGGATGAAAAATTCCTTTAGTATTCTGCACATACACACACACACATACACACGAAAATACAAGTGTGTGTAAATATAGACTCACATATTTGGTCTTAATATAAAATTTATATTAATTATATGTTTATAATTTACACATATATATGCAATTTACATAAATACATATGCCATGTTTTTTTGGCATTATTGTATCTGGTGACAAAAAAGAGGGATGAATAATTCATTAAACCTAATCAATCCAGAAATGTCATCCACTTTCCAAGTTTACAAATTCTTTTTTTTTATTGAAAAAAAATTTTAATGTTTATTTTTGAGAGAGGGAGAGAGACAGAGTGTGAGTGGAGGAGGGGCAGAGACAGAGAGGGAGGCACCGAATCCAAAGAGGCTCCAGCTGTCAGCACAGAGCCCAATGCGGGGCTCGAACTCACAGGCTGTGAGATCATGACCTGCGCTGAAGTCGGACGTCCAACCAACCGAGCCACCCAGGCGCCCCAGTCAAGTTTACAAATTCTAAGTAAAAATTGGGTTTTCATTTTAAATCAGACTGAATGAATGAGGGTACTAAGAGTTTACCTTTCTTTCTTTAAGTGGAATGTTTACAAAGAAAGCCTAAGGAAGAGTCTGAAAATTAACATACATAAGGATACAATTTGAATCACAAGGCTAGTGGTATCATAGCCTACCCTCAAATTATATAGACATTATTCATTTCATATATGTTCTTTCCAAGTTACAAATCATGAAATTTCATGTCACTGACATGTAAATATCAGTAGAAAAGGACTATACTTTCCCGATAAAATTCTTTTTAACTTAGTTGTGTTTTGATATTATTTTCACATTTATTATATAACCTCTATTTAACTTAACTATGAGTAATCTCATACCCAGGTAAGAACAAAGTCCAAGACCTTCATCTATATGGCATCTTGAAAGCTTGATGATATCCTAAGGTTACACATCATTTAAGTATAAAACAAGTGAATGTATTTTGATGCACGAAGATGGAGATTTTGTCTTTTAAGAATCTTGAAACTGTTATGCCCAGAATTCGTGATCCCCAAAGACCACTAGGGAGCCGAGTCCGATGCAAAAGCAAAGAGCCTTTATTCGAGCTAGCTCGAGCTCAATCCCCTACCTGCACCGACGCAGCGGTGAGATACCAGGGAAAGAGAGCGAGTTTCAAAAGGACAAAGGTTTTATTGGGGCCTGGGGGCAGTTGGTGAGGTAATGGCTGTGGCCTCAGCCGATTGGCTGGGGAAGGGTCCTGGGGAAGGGTCCGAGCCCTGTTAGGCAGGTGAGGGGGGGTTACTCAAGGGGAGGAGGTGTAGTCAAGGTGAAGGACACAGAACAAGATGGAGTTGGCTGGCGTAGGCCCGCCCTTTCAAAACAAGAAAGCCTTTATTTTACAATATGGAACTACAGGATGAGAAATTAAGAAAATAGCTTGAGATAATAAGTCATTGATATGATTAAAATGGAAAAGAGCAAATCAAAAACAAGGAAGTTTTTAAAGTTTCTATGTTAATTCCAGTTAGTTAACATATAGTGTAATATTAGTTTCAGGTATAAAACATAATGATTCAACACTCATCACAAGTGCCTTCCTTAAATCCCCTTCACCTTTTTCACCCATCCACTGCCCACCTCCCCTCTGGTAACCATCAGTGGAACACGAGGAATGTAATTGAGAAAAGTACATGCATTCAACTTGAAAGAAACAGTCGTGATCAGTGTATACTTTAATCTCGAACTTCAAAAATGAAAGAGAGAAAAAAAATAGACTGTGGTCAGACGTACGAATGGGAGAAATAAAATTTTAAATTCTAATTGTATGGCATTACATTGTGATTGGTTTGATTTGATTATAAAACTTTCCAATAAAGCTATATTGGCTCTTGGAAGACATCCCTATTCCACTTCAGAGCTGGTT